TGATTATTTTGTTTGTTCTGTCTGTGAATAAGTCTATAATTAGATTTGTTATTTGTTTTGGTATATGGATTCTCTGTAGAGCTAAACATAGTAGTAGGAGATGAACAGAATCATATGCTTTAAACATGTCTTATGATAGCATCCATAATTCTTTCTCATTTATATGTGCGTCTTCTATAATATGCGTAAGTATTTGAATTGGAATTGCTGTTGAAGTATTAGGAAGTGCTACATGGTTGTGTGAGCATAGAGCTAGATATTTAGTTAGGATATTATTTAGACGTGTAGTAATTATTTTAGTGAAGATTTTCCTTGTGTGTTTGATAAGGGTTATCAGTCTGGTATTATTGAGTTGTCCTGTAAAAATTAGTTTTTTTGATATTGAGAAGATGTTGCTCTGTTTCTATATTTTTGGTATTATTTGTAGCTGTAGACAAGCATTAGTTATTTTTAGCAGTAGTTGTAGTAGAGGATCGTTTAAGTATTTTAGCATTTCGTTAGAGATATTTTGTAGTCCTGTTACTTTGTGAAGAGGTGCTTGTCATATTGTATCTATAAGTTCTTCCAAGGTTATAGGGACAGTTATTGAATTGAGTTGGTTTGGTAAGATGTTTGGTATAGGATCATATTCTTCCTTCCAAAGGTGCTAATTTAGTGTATTCAGAGGATTAGATTTGGTTCAGTTTTTATAGTGGTCTTGGATTTTCTTTTTTATTTCTTTAGGTACTGTGATAATCTCATTAGGCAGCAAGATATTATGAAAGATTACTGGGTCTGTGTGTCTGTATAGTATGCTGTTGATCATCTTAGTAGTATTGTTTGCAAAATTATTATATCTATTATTTATGTGTTAATTAATATTGTTGTTATGCGCAATATTATTCTAAATTTTTCTAGCTATGTAGATAGTTTTTTGAAGCTGTTTGAGATATGTTCTAGTATTAATTATATTTGCTGTGTTAAGATTTTCTGATGTTAATAAACTGATTTAATGTTCGATATTTTTGTTAATATACTTAATATCACTATTAATTTTTTGAATATATTCATTATTGTTTTGCTGTTCAGTACACTTAAGTAATCTTAGGATTTTGTTTAGACGTTTGAAGGATTGGTAAAGTTTTGTTGCTTGAGTTGAGAAGCTGTAGTAAGTTTTGGAATTGGTTTTAGTTGTTGGAATATTTTTTGTTGAAGCTTTTTTAATTGCAGTATAGAAGTTGTACTATTGTCAATTTAATTCTGTAGTAACTTGGATGTTTAGATTAGCAATTTTTGTTAGGTCTAGGTTCATGTTCACTTCATTAGAAAAATCAGCTAATGCATCTATATTTATTTCCTCATATTTAAAGATTTTCCGCTTTTTGTTTTTGCTTCTTGTATTAGGAATAAAGATATTATTATACCATGTAATATGAATTATTTTGTAATCACTATTTGTGATTCTTTTTGCAGAAGAGACTTGTGGTTTGGAGATATTATTAATTAGTGTATTAGAGAACCAAATATCATCAATTTGACTATATGAGTTTTGTTTAGACTATATATGATCCTGTATATGAAAATATTGTAAAGTACTCGAAAGATTATGATTAGTCATTGTATAAAAGATAAATGGTTTCTTTTTAGATGATTTGTTATAATCAAAGTTAAAATTACTCATAACAACTATATGGTATTGTAAGTTAGTTGCTTCTTTATTCTATTTCTATATTATTTGTTGTGTTTGGAGTAGGAATGAATTGTTGTTATTAGGTAGATATAAAGAAATTACTCGAAGATGACATTTTTGAGGAAAGAAAAAGTTAATTGCAATCACAGTTCCAAGTGTTTTTATTATATTATGTATATAAGATCTGAAAATTAGTGTAATTGTAATTGCAGTGCCTAAACTAGATTCTTGTTTTTTTGCAGTTAGCTGATCACAGTTTGAGGTGTGAATATGATAATAAGGATTTCTTAGTAAGAAGTTTGATGATATAGATTCTGCTAACTTAGTTTCTGTCATACTTATAATGTAGTAGTTGTGGTCATTGCAGTGCTCAAGCCAAAGTTGTAGTTTTATCTTGTCATTAAGATCTTGTACATTATGCGTAGCTAAGTTAATATTGTTTAGATGTTGGATATCGTTATTGTTGTTGTTATAGTTATTAAATATATCGCTTGTATTGTTGTCTATAAGTAATTAATTAAAAATATCTCAGGTTGGTTCTGGGAGAGGTGGTAAGTTGAGTAAGTATTCTGGAATATAAGATATAGTAAAGTATTCTCTAAGAGTAGTTAGAGTTAGTGTAATATCTTCTTGTTGTATAATTAGTAGTGTGACATAGATCTCTTCTTTGTTTTTTTCGAGTTGATCCTATAGTTCAGTTAGAGTGTTAGAGATAGATAGTTTATTTTTGTTTGTTGTTATTTCATCATTAGGTATTTGTGTATTTGGAAGTGGTTCTAATTCAATCTATTTAGATAGGAGTTTAGTAAAATAGTAGTCTTGTCTGAGTAATTTAACTATATTTAGAAGTTGTTTGGATGAGATAATTGATATAGTTAGGTTGTATTCTGAAATAAATTGTGGTTCTTCAGGTAATCTTGGTTTGTCAGTTGAGTTAGTTGTCATGATATTCTCATTAATTAGAAATCTGACTCTGTATTTGCTATTGGCTTCTTGTAGGAATTCTTTTGCTTGTATATCATCAGTAATCGAGTACATATATGTGAAGGTCAGTTTAATATACAATAGGTCTTTAGATAGCTATGGTTTCTGTTTAAAGAAGTCATTTGGGATAGTTTTGAATATGTAGAATTCTTGAAGCATTGTGCGTATTTCTTGTATAGAGTATTCATTGTTATATAACTCTAGTAGAAACAGATATCTGACTTTACTATTAAGTTCATGATAGATAGTAGGTAGAGGTTCTCTTGGTGGTAGTAATTCGAAGTAACTGCTAGGTAGTCTTTTAAAGTTGAAGTGATCTGTAAGTTTGTTTCGATAGAAGCTTAAAAATTTTAGTTGTTTATAGTCTGTAATAGAAAAGAGATCTTTAATTTCTGATAGAAAATCTTGTAGTTTTTCTGGTAATTCTGATAATATAGTAAAGTATGTCATAGGGAGAATTGTAAATATGAAGACTTGATGTAGAGTATTAACAATTCCTTTTGTTTGTGATCTTTTTTGAATAAGTAATATAAAAGGTAACATATTAGATATTTCTTCAGGAATCTCTTGTAGTATGTCTGGTAGTGGTATGAGCAAAGAGTTTCGTACTTCTTGTATTGCTTTTAATATTGCTTTTGGGTCCTCAATTTGGTCTGCTTTAATAAAATTTCTACAATATTTGAATATACGAGTTATTTGGTAGTTATCCATTTCTCTGAAGTCCAAACTAGCAATATAGTCGATGATAAGTTTTTGTTGAAGTTTGTGTTATATGATATTCCTTATGTCTTTAGTTGTAATAGTGATTTTGTTCAGAGTTGTGTATTTGTTTAATGCTTCTTGCATAAGTTTGTTGAATTCGATTTGGTATGCTGGCATAATTTGTTTGTTACTGTGAAGGTAGTAAAGAAGGCTTTGTTTAGGTACTTGAACTTAAGAAGTATTGTATTGAGAATTTTGTATTGTAGAGGTCTAGTAGAGAATTTATATAAAGTGAATTCAGTAATTCCTGTTATGTCGTTTAGTGCAATAATGATTCTGTCTCTAGGCCAAGTATTATATTCGAAGTCAGTTTTTAGATTCTTCTCTTGGGCTTCTTTGATATAGTTGAGCTAGTTAATTTCTTCTGTTTGTCTGTTTAAAGAGTCTTCTGTTATCATATCTGTAAAAGAATCATTATATTCAGTTTCATTGTTAAGATTTAGTTAAAGTGTTTGGCTATAAGATAGTTTTGTAGCTAGTTAGGATGTTGAAGCAATTTCTTCAGTAGTTGAAACAGGTATAGTGTTGGGTTTAGAAGGTTTGTTGTTGTTTGTAGTTAGAGTATTGTTAGGTGCATCAGTTGAGTTACAACTTTTGGCATAGTTGGTGTAATGATCATGAGATGACTCCTGTGGCTGATTGTTGTTATTGTTTTGAGTAGGTTGTTGTGTAATATGTGATATCATAGTTGGATTTGTAGGAGGTAAACTGGATAGCCTACTTTTTCTATTATTATTTTGGGAAGAAAAATTAGTACGTCTTCGTTTAGTATTAGAAGTAGAAGATAGAGAGTTGTTATCATTTTCTTCTAGTAGATTGTTGTTATTTTTGATATTTTTGTTTTTTGTGTTATGTGCTATTGTTGGTATCAAGTTGAGAAGCCTTGTAGGCCCTTTTTTCTCTGTAGAGATATTGAGTTTGTTGTTGTCATTGTTGTCATTCCTTGTTTTCCTTTTAATTTTGGTTTTTGAATTATGTAGTAGTACTTTAGAGACTATCCTCTACAAGTGTAGTTGCAGAGGTTTTAGTATAACTTTAAGAAGTTTTAATTAGGTTTAGTTATAGTTGCCGTTGTTATTTTATTTCTTTCTGTTTGCTTAGATTTTTGTAAAATGATGTGCGTGGGAAAGAGTTTTATTTGCTTCAAATATTGATGAATGTAGATAATTATGATAGATATTATTATTTTGAATACTTGAAGCATATAATGGTATTGTTTGTTCTAAATTTGATCCAATTAACTCTTCAAATTGAAATGCTAATTCAGTTTTTATTTTTTTTTGAGTTTCTTTATTCCAAGTAGAAAGTGATTTTAACTAGAGATCCAAAAGTAATACTAACAATCTGATTATTAATGGCTCATTCCAATAATCAAATAATGAATTATAGATTATATGCTATATTGTTTTAATAATTTGATAATTATACGAAGAATCTTCATTCAGATTAGTAGCAGCAAGTATTTGGTGATTATATATTAAAGATTCTGAGTTATCAGAATCAGAATCTTCACTATCATCATCAAATAATTCTTCATAATGAAGATTGGGTATTTCTGTTTAATTAATAAATATAAACAATCTTTATAACATGATCTCTAACTATATAATACATATATTCTCATATGTTATTATTTTATAATTATAGTACCTTCATTGTCTTCATTTAAAGAATTACTAATAGCTTTAATATCAATGAATGAGTATTTAAAGACTCGAATCAAAAGATAAATTATTGATAAAGTAGCATATTGTGACCTACTAAAATATGTAGTAGCATTATCAAATGATTTTAGCAAATTAATAATTTGTTCTACTAGGTCCTATTCATAAAGTAAAAGAAGATGTTTACTTAGTTTTCAACTATTAGCTCAATTATCTGAATAGTCAAATAAGAATAATGTTGCTGCTAACTATTCTATTGCTTTATGCAATTTAAGTAGCTATTTCTAAGAATAATACTTAAAGTTCCAGCATGTCTCTATATTTACAATATTTCACAAGATAGGCTCTACAGAATTTATATTTAATGACAATGAATTATTTGAATTACTATCATTAGAATTACTTGATGCATTAGCAAGATTATTTTTATTTTGAATTATAGAAGATATTGTAGAAAATAAGTGCTATTAAAATTCTTGTTAAGCTTCATTGAGATGCTCACTTTGTTTAGAAGATTTGGTAAAAAAATAAACTAATCATTTTATTCTTTTAACATGTGAATTATTTTTTCTAAAAGCACAAGTTACAGAAAGTTGAAGTGTATATACTATATAGAGCAAACGCTCAACTCTCTTTCACAATCTAATTGCCTTGACTATATTGCTACTATTGTTTGTTGTTATACAAGTTATTTTTCTATTTAAATTAAATTCAAATATTTTTTTTTTAAAAAAGTAGCTATATTTTTAGCTGAATAGAGATAAGGCATATGTTCTATACAAAGAAAACAATCATATATCTTAAAATCATTTGATAACCAATAAATAGTTATTTCTATATATTCGTACTTGCTTTATGAGATTCATAAATCTGTAGTTAAAGATACTAATTCATATTTATTTTTTAACAATATTTTTAGATTCTTAACTGTGTTCTCATAACTAGTAAAAATTTTCTTTTTTATTTTTTTATTACTAGAAATTTTAAAGGCAGGATCCACAATTCTCATTATTTTTTTATATATCTTTTTGTGAATTACATGAATTGGAAGATTATCAACAACAATCCATTTGGCAATTGCTTGCTTAATTTCTTTATTTCATAGCTTTTTGTATAATTTTACTCAATTAAAAATCTCCGTTATTGTAGGTTTAGATCGTAGATAAATTAGTCTGAGTTTCAAATCTTGTCATATAGTTTAAAATTATACCTTGTTATATATAGTATTTAAAAAATTTCAACTGTAAATTTTTAATTAAATTATTAATAAAGATAGAAACATGGCCTCACCTTAGCT